ATAACTAATTAAATTTAAGAATTTCCCCATATATGTGACCCCATGAATTATTACGCTAGTCAATAACAGAAGTATAGGCTCTATGAGAATCATGGCTATGTATGTTCACGTTTCGAGGGTTATTGATCTAGAACGATGGGCTGCTAACGGAGGCTTGTGGCGTGATTGACTATCTTGAAGTCGATCTTCAGTGTCGTTGCATGGGTGAATCACTACTGCAAATATACTTCATCCTCATACCGTGGGGGCCCCGAAATTTCAGCTTCCGAAAGAATTCGTAAAGAAATTACTTTGCGTGGACAAGTTGATAATATTGGCAAGGAGCTCGATCACTGTTTGTTCGCGGGGAATGCAGGAAATATGGGAACCTCTTCTGATTGAATCGGCAGTTTACCCTTCTTACAGGAACACAGTAGAGTCATTAATAGGTTTCTCCAGCGAAAAACTATGAATAAGGTACCTGCTAGGGTCAATAAGCTCAGTCCTCCTAGCGACCCGAATGTCAGCAGTTTGTGATGATACTCCTCCTGATGTTTCTTCCCTGTTTCCTCTGATCTGCGACAAGCTTCGTCCAGTCGCATTTCGCTTGATAAATGACCTTTGATGTTTGGCAAAGGATCAACACGAATACTGGTGAGCGCGTTGGCTTTCTCTGGTATTTGGGCCAATTCTGGAGCAAAGTCAGCGATAGATAAATTTACTGGTGGTAAGTGAACTTCGAGCTCCGTAGTTTCCGGGATATACAAGTGTGATATGAGATCCCCTGATGTCCTGAGGTCGCAGTCTCTTCCCAACGTGATAATACCAGTATCAGTGATGTTCACCACGTCTACGAGCTTCTTTTTACAGATTACGTCTCTTTGTTCATGCTCAATTGTGGTGAAGAGCCATTGAGTCCCCGTACCCAAGTTGGTCCATTCGGTACCTCTTGACTTGGTGATTTTTATACCGCAAGTACGTAGTACGTCTCCCGATGGTTTTAACAGGAGTATAATTTCGCAGACTGGTTGTTGTATGGCGTTGCTGATGGGGAATCGTGGCAGACAGGCAGGCATTCCGGGTTCCCAATGTAGAACATCCCTCCAAATCTTCCTGATGTAGCAAAGCGTACCTCCTACGATCTTCTGAGACGAGAATGTAGGACTTCTCGGGTGTAACGTGAGCCGATATGGTCCGGTCACCAATGAGCTGTGGTCGACGACAAGAGCGTAAGCGATAAAGATTGTAAATTTCTCTACCCAACAATGGCAGAGTGATGATGGCTAGCAGGTTGCCCCTAGCATGTGCCATTTTGATGTTGCTGATTCTAGACAAAGCTGGGAACGCTGTCGCCCCCTCGGGAATGGGAAACTCAAGTTCTGGGTGTATCGATTTGATATTTTCTGTGATATCGTGAAGTTGTTGGGGTGTCAAGAACGTGTTTGACAATCGCCCATGTTTGGCAGCGTCGACTGCACCTACGATATCCACAGTTACATCTAACACTCGTCGTAGAGAAGACTCAGCCTCAACTCCAGCCTGGGCCAAATGGACGATGTATCCTAATTTCTTCACTTCGTGATCTTCCCGGTTACGTTGAATTTGTAAATCTTCTGCAACGGATTTCAGCGCCAAGATATTTCCATTAGTTTGATTAACATACGTGTTGATGTTCTCTATCTTAGACCTCAATATATGAGTGGAGTTATTTATGATAGAAGCAATCTCGCCTTGTGACTGGTACAGCCTTTCGATTTCTTTGGTAATATGTTGGTAGTCGTTGTAGTCCATCAATCCGAAGAGACTACGGTGGAGGCTACCCACGAAAGCAAACGGTGGTACGCGGGGGCCGCGCATGCTTATCGGCTTAGTTGCAGGAGAGAGGAAAAGATCTTCAAGATGACTGTTTAGCTGAACGATCTCTAATTTCATCGCCGCAATTGAATCCAACCTCAACAATCTGTGGCACTTTTGTTGACTCAGTATAGTCTTACATTTGTTGATGAGCGATGCATGATATGGACTCGTTGCTCGATCTATTTGCCGGTGTATCAGAGCCAGGTCGATACTAGTAATTATCTGCCATTCCTTTCGAACTATTTGGAGGTCTTGTATAGGTTCGTAATAAATGCCAGGGTTATACTTTAGGTAGTGGACTGTGTAGAGCGCTTGATCTTCGGGTGGAGTATCTGCAGGTTGTTGTAGATGCCATCCATAAATAGGTTAAAACAGCCACAGCGCTCCCAGTAGAAAAATGCGTAGTGCAGTCGCCATGACTCCGCACAATGTTCACCTTACCTTTACTGGGTTACATTTATCAAATATAAATTTGAGTGAGCACGGTTTCGATACAATTTTGCTCTGACAATTTGGCTGCACGATATATTTATTGTTATTCATTGATCTTATTCATTTTCATATTTTAGTTTTCTAAGGAGACAATTCAAAATGTCAGTGCAAAATTTTATTTATTTAATTTTTTTTATTTTATTCATTCAGGTACTAGCCTGACATCATTAGGATGCCTCGTAAATCGTTCGCCATCGGCATCTTCTATTATAAAATTGCCGTTTTCAGTAATTTTCACAATCTCATAATCAGTTCGATAATGACCATCAAATTTACTCTTGCGAGGTCTCATCAATATATCGACGCTCTGACCCACCTTGAAATCTACAGGATTCGCATCACGATCGTACAGTTCCTTCTAACGTCTCTTAGCGCTGTTAAGATTATCGGCGGCAACGATCTGGATTTTATCTAACTTTGAAACTAGATCAATTATGTAATCACTGTAAGTCTCGATTGTTTTCTCATCGGGGAACTCTGATGGCAACCGAGCCTTTCTACCAAAAACCAATTCAAAAGATGAGAAATTTGTTGCTGAGTGTACCGAAGTATTATAAGAGAACATGGCAAATGGGAGGACCAAGTCCCATAGTCCCATTCTTCCATGTTTTCCAATACAGTTGGTAAATATTCCACGGGAACGTGGTGACGGGTCCATGTGTAAATATTTTCCGTCAAAAAAACTCCGTCAAAAAAACTCCGTCAAAACAATTTTACGACAAAGAAACTTGGTTAAAACAAACCTTCGTTATATAAACTCAACCCAAAAACAACTTCTCTCATAAAAAATTCCATGAAAAAACAACTCAAAAAACCACCTAAAAAATAATCAATGATAAAAGAAACAAACCAACGACTATCAATGAAATTGAACGAAACTTTATTTACAAAATAAATGAGTAGCAGACAAAAAAAAATTATGCAATTAAAGGGTGATATTCAGAACAATTCCTTTCAAATATTTTATGTACGAACGATTAGCGTAATCACGAACAACAGGACTCAAAAACGGAAAAACACAAAAAAATATTCAGGTTTTTAACAAAGTTATTTGTACAGAAGTTGTTTTTGAAAGAGTTTTTTTATGACAAACGTTGTAATCGCAAAAGTTCAAAAAACCAAGTTTTTATGACGAAGGTTTTTTGACGGAAAATATTTACACGTGCTCCCCGTGGTGACTTCGTTCAAGGGTCCCATTGGTCTGCGGCCTATAACCCGATGTAATCACATATTTTACGTTAAATATTTCGGACACTTGCGCAAATATCTTGCTAGTGAAGCTGGTTCCTCTATCCGACAATAGTGTTTTGGGTGAGCCATGCACTGCGTAGAGGCTACTGGCCAGAGCTTCCCTAGTGGAAAAACATAAGGTGGAGGCGTAACATGCCTGATCAGAATTTCGGATCGGACTTGATCAGTTTCTGATCGAGACCTGAACAGAATTTCGACTCGGGTTCTGCAATGGTTTCGATATGCAAGTCTGGGAGAGCTAAGTTTGTGGCTAAGCAATACTTAGTTAGGTTATCTTGAATGGTAAGTATGTGCTGATTGCCACGGGGCGTACGTATGAGGGGCCCTACGGTGTCTATGGAAACTCTCTCAAAAGCTTCCAGAGGCGTGTTCGTAATCACCATAGGTTGACGAGTTTTTATTCGCGAAAGTTTCTGTTCTCGACACGTGTGACTGTGACGGATGTATTCTGTGACATCTTGAGCAATGCCCGGCCAATAAAATCTTTCTCGAATCCTACGACAGGTCTTAACGAAGCCTTTGTGACCTCCTACTAGACTGTTGTGGGCTTCACGGATAATTTGGAAACGTATTTCCTCACTTGGATTTTCAATTTTTCCGTGACATAAATAAATCTGCACCGGATACGATTCGAATACTTCCTCGAGTAACGGGCGAATGTCCAATTTATTTACTTCGTCACCGCTGGTCGCTACTCGGAAGGATGTTATCCGATAGTGTTGTAACGCGTCACGAAGGTGTGATAAGCCTGACAATACGTCATTGATATAAGATCTTTGGGTATGATGATTCTTTACAATCACCGTAAAAGTTTTATAGTTACCAACTGGAGTAACTAAGACATCACCGATGACGGGTTTATAACGCCTTAGTTCATGCACATCGACTAAATTTACCGATTGGAGGAGTTTTCCAACAGGGCTATTAATTTCGCAATTAGTTGCGAGGAAATGAACAAGATGACCACGTCGGAAAGTGAGACCGGCGTCTGTCTCTATCATACCCGGTTGTAATACAGTGGTGGGAATTGGAGTCGGGTTAGCGTCCCCCCTTGTTACGTCTTCCAGCATTTCGGAGTCACTTGCGGTAGGTTGAAGACAGATCCCGGCTTTATTCACCCGTGGAGCATCTACGATGACATCTGATGCAGGTGTCGATTTACCTTCCAGCTCAAGATTCGTGGACATTGGTGGTAGAGAAAATCGAAGTTTTTTCACCGAATTATTTACCTGGGGATTTGATGATACTTCGATGAACGGACTGGACTTGGCCACAGGTAGTTCTCCTAGCTTGGGTGTTGGAAGAAATGACACCCGCTTAGGCTTACGGATGATGGAATGAGCTGGTGGTATTTCCAATTCCGTCTTTCCAGGGGTCTTGGGCGTGTGGGGAGAGCCAGACTGGGTTAGCGTGGACGCTTCTTATTCCTCTGATAAATTTCGCAATTCTGGCGAGGGATCAGGTGTCTTCCCAAGATATTTATTCAGACTTGATTCCAAGTTTTCCATACTTGCAAGTAACTTCGCAATTTTTTTAGCTCTACGTTTGTTCCTTGTCCTGATAGTAGGATCGTCTTCTCCAAAATTTTTTTCCTCCCCTTCCTCGTCTTCTTCGCTTTCTTCTTTCTCTTCTTCTTCCTCCTCTTCGGACTCAAATTCAGAGAGATCAAAACCCTTTTCTTGATGTTTTTTATCAAGGGCCAGGAAGGATTTCTGAAGGCTTTCTAAAAAAGCAGGAGTTCGTTGGAGGGTTTTTCTTTCAGGCCCTGCCGGTGAATACGAAGTCCCAGTATGGGCATCATCCTGATCAAGTACCAGCGGCGGCTCGTCTATGTCAAGTTCTGCTGAGATGGAGTCCTTCCTAGGATCTTTGGAAATTTCCACAATAGCATTGTTGGGCAGCGAAGGAAGATCGAATACGTCATCATCATCCGAGTCTTCACCAAACTGCGGTGGAAGAGGGGAGACAAGTCTTATCGGAGGCGAATTTGGGTCGCCTTCATACTTTTGATGAGAGGTCGTTGGAGGGTCCTCTGTCTCCTCTATTGCGCTAGTTTCAGGTTCGGTATAGGTTACCCTCGGAGCCCCAGAGATGGTTTTGGTTCTGGTACGAGACCTCAATCGTGAAGCCACTGGACCTCCTGGTGATGGTGCGGCCAAATGCGGCTTCACTGTGCTGCCTGGCATTAAAGTTTTTACTGCCGTGGGTTTCTTAGCGGCTTGCGGGACTTCGGGGGTTGTTCCAGCCTCCATAGTGATAGCGGAAGCGTCCTTTCGTGGTCTACCTCTCCCTCGCGTTGCTTGTGGACCCTTGGTTGCTGGCGCACCTCCTGATACAGATGTTGCTCTAGGTCTCAGAGACAGTGCTGCCTTTCTTCCAAGCATTGTGTAACCAGGCATTGTACAAAAGGCATTGTACAAAACTCAGCCACTTCTTCGTCAGTTTTTGGTAGGTCGACTGGATTGTAGCTAAGGCTTTAGCTACCTGTTTCGTCTTGGCTGTGCGATGATGTACGACGTAGTCGAACCCAGTGGTTTTTATCTTAAGGTGGGCTTTTCGTGTCGTATAATCCGAATGGTCTTGTAACCAGAGTACAGCAGAGCTTTCAGAATACAGCTTGAAAGTTTTGCCATACAAGTATGGCTTGAAGTGATTCAGAGCGAATACCACTGCAAGGCACTCACGTTCTTCATCGGTATATCTCGTCTCTGGTCCATTCAAGGCCCTAGAACCATAGGCGATGGGTCCTTCTACTCCAGCTTCGTCTAGTTGCGTCAGTATAGCGCCTATTCCACACGAATGGCTCGTTAGACATAAAAACTTTCAATTCATTGAACGCGTGTTCTTGTCGGGTCCCCCATTTCCATTCCGCATCTTTCTTCAACAGCTCCTGCAAAGACGTGGATCTGGGCGCAAATCATGCCTTAAAACGATGGAAATAATTACACATACCCATAAAGCTCCGCAGCTCAGATTTATTTGTCGGGGTATTAAAGGTAGTTATGACTTCTACCTTTGAGGGATCAGGGCGTATTCCATGTTTTTCGATGACAAATCTCAAGTACGTTACTTCGGACCGGAGCATGCGACACTTATCTATCTATGGAGTACTGCCAAATGTCTCCAGTCTCAAACAGAGCCCGCAGGAGTTCATCCAGAGATATCATCCAGGTACATTTCTATGCCCTTCCCGATTAGTTCCTTCAACATGGTATCCATGGCTCTCTGGAAAATAGCTGGAGCATTTTCCATTCGAAAGGGCATCAACAGATATTTAAAGTGGCCTTGGGGTGTAGCGAAAGCTGTTTTTTCTTGATCTTTAGCACTCATGCAAATTTGATGGAAGCCACTTGCCAGGTATAGGGTGGTAAAAATTTTTGATTGCTTGAATTTATCCAGCACTGATCTAATCCTCGGTAGAGGATATCGGTCAGCAATCGTCTTTTTGTTCAACAACCGAAAATCTACGACCATCCTCCAGCGCTTCCTTCCCTTGGAATCCGGTTTTTTAGGGACCATTGTAATCGGTGAATTATATGACCATCTGGAAGGGCCAATTTTGCCTTGATCTAACAGTTCGTTGACCTGTTTAGCTACCTCATCCTTGAGTTTTTCCGGGATCGCATACTGCTTGACATACACCGGTTCAGGGTCCTTAGTCCTGATAGTAGAAGTTACTTCCTTAATTTCCCCACTTCGTTCCCCTGGAAGTGTAAAAAGGTGAAGAGAATCTTTTACACTGTCAGAGATGCAAGCTGTAGTTTCTGCATTCATTTCTCCAACAGTAAGGATATCAGTAACGTATTGCTCTCGAGTTTTTTTTGTTTCTTCGAGTGTTTCCGTGAGATTATATTCCAGGTCCGGTTCTCCGAAGACATCGGGATACAAATCTAGGCCTTCTAATTCTGAGATACTCATTACTACTGCCAGTGGATGGAGTTCTTGAGGTGGGATACGCAAAGTGATCTTCTCATTATTTTCATTGACTGCTGTTGTCCAAAAGATGTTCTCCTTAGACCAGGGAGACTCAGGATCTACTTCCGTTTCCTTCAAAACGAGCCCCTTAGTGATTTGTGTCGTGGGAAAATGACTACGTCCAGTCATAGGGGTTTTCGACTCTACTGGAATTCTCAATTCCGAGTGGGGAGGTATGTTAATAGGCTTGCACGGGTCTAGTTCGCGGTGGAATATTATAGGATTATGAGGAGCAGAGTTAAGGATCATGGATTGATGTGGAAGGATATTTCGGCTTTAGTTGGAACAAAATCATTCCCTATTATCCCGTTATACTCTCCTGGGGACCGTGAATGTACAACATTGAATTATGTGGGAACACCGTTGACGTCGACGATAACTGTACCGAGAATCAGCACATCTCCCCCTCTTACGCCGCACAGGTTCCGCTTTTCGCATGAGGTCAGTTCAGCAGTCGTTGCCTCCAGCAAAATAATGTTCAAGGCAGAGCCAGTATCCAATAAGAACAGTCCAGAATTACCCTTCAAAATATTTGACTCTGAACGTACCATAGGACCTTCTTCTGAACTACAAGTAGTCGGACATTTTGGAGGATTCAGATAAGGCGGTAGACTCATACGGAAAGGTATGACCGACTTCACGTGATCATTTAACGCAACAGTTGATAATGCAAATGATACCGTACATCCGAAAGGAGCTAAAAAATGTCGGCCTATCAATCCATCATACCCACCCGTTGGATTTGAGACGACATGAAATTTATGTTTCAGATGTCTGATGAGCAATTCTATGGTTCCGTACGTTTCGACTATCCGAAGCCCGGCACCGACAACGTACAATTTTTCCGTAGGATCTACTTTTGCATCGGGGTGTAAGGCTCGTATCCAAATCAAACTAGCCTCCCCCCTCATATCTATTAAAAACTCTGCCTGACCGCGCTGAAGGTTGATGAGACGTTGAAGGTAAGAAACACCGCGTTGGTGTTTGATGTTAACAACCAGGCACGTCCCTTTTACGTGGTTAGTTACTTTTTTACTCTGCGGAGGATCTCCGACACAGACGGTGGGCTGATCCTTGGCTTCGCTCGTCCTCACCGTTGAAGGATGAGCGCCTTCCCCGTTTAAAGAGCCACACCGACTATTAGATTTTCTATCAGGAGTGGGGTTGCGCGACGAGCCTCGTCGCTCTTGTTGAGAGTTGATGTGGTTACCGTCGGATCGCTCATTGGATTTCTCCCGTTGCTCGTAGTCTCCCGGGCACGGAGAGAATATACCCGCCGTTACGTTTTCAGTGCGATTATTGGGATCATTAGAACAATCACAACGATGATCTACGCGATCCTTTATTACCTGAGACGAAGTTCCTGCACTATAGTTCTCACGAGAAATCCTGTCCCTAGAATTTTCACATGAGGACCTACCGCTAAGACCATCAAAAAAATACCTCTCACGTTCACGTCGCTCATCGTCGAAACGAACTGAACGATCAGCTGATGGTCGGCCGTCATTATCATGGTGAGATCGCTCATGGAATCGTGAGTCATTGCGTCGATCATTATTACGATTCGAATTTGTATGAATTCTCATAGGCGATGCAAAGTCTCTATCCTCCTCTATCAGAGGTTTCAATTTCTCTAAGGCTCCCTGGAGCGTAGTGATCCTAAGTCTTATTAATTCTGCTTTATAATCTGGAGGTATTACTTTCATAAATTTTCGAAGTGCTTTATCTTCAATTAATTTTGTGAGAACCTCATGATGTTCAGGATAGAGAAGTTGCAACGCCGTTCCGGCATTAGGAACGATTTTATTAAGGCGGAGGTTGAAATCATCTACTTCCTCGTACTTATCCGGATACATATTTGCTATTTTCTCCTCGAAATAGGCCTGCCAATATCGCTTCCTGTATTTTTCACCAAGCAAACTCAAAATTTCGTCAGTAGAATGTACAGTGATGGCTTCCAAATGAGCTCGAGCAGGGAAACGCAACCGATCGAGTATAGCAGCGATAAGGTCAGCATTCTGAGGCGGTACTTTATGGTAAAATCTTTTTATAGCGCTTTCAAAGTCGAGGAAATCTACAGAGGAATCTGGATGGCCGCTAAAATTTGGGATTGTATTGAAAGTATCTCTAGCATGTAAATATTCAACGAAATCCGCACTGGCAGCGGTGGTATTTTCGCCTAATGTTACTCTAGTATTATTTAATTGAGTGGTCCTGACGGGCTCCCCAGTTTGCTCTGGAGTTTCCTTACCGTTTTGGCCATTTTTATCCCCACCGTTTTCAGGCATTTTCAATTTTAATCACCAATTCCTACGATTCTACAATTATCCAAACAGTAATGTTAAGTTTATTCACACAAAGGAAATTATGTTCGACCAACTATTGTAGTGGGATAGGCATCCCACTTCTGACACAAAAACTGTGACAAACTGACGGAAGTCTGTCTCACTCGAGTTTTTCGGAAGATTTACCTTAGTGTCCAAATTTAATTTAGTGGATCCTAGCCGTTAAGATAAACATCTCCTACAAAAGTCAATCGAACAATAATTTCTGAAAAAGGTGATAGGTTCTATAAATCATAAGAAAATTAGAATTTTCGACCAGAACTCCCCGGAGTCTATTCAATATATTTTAAATTGGATGTTTCAGACAAATTATTCAGTTTTACACATTGAATTTAAGAATTCGAATAAAGAGAGAGAGATAACGATAAAGTCTCATAATTTTCGAAAGATAGATGATTTCAACGGAAAAATTCGAGTTAATTATAAATTTTGCTATAGTGCTCACCTTTACGATTTCCTCGTAATAATAACGATTTAACAATCGGAGCAGCGATGCCTCTAGGCAAGTTCAATGTGTCATTCCAATATATCCAAATATATCCAATTATAAGTCACTTCAAATTTGTTTGAATGTTTATGTGAAATTTTTCACTATTTAACTGACAAGGAACACTACGCAGGTGTCCCCCTCCGATTTCGATGAAACTTAAATATGTTATAGGGGACCCAAAACTAAGGGACACGTATTTTTTTTAGCTGCCCATATTGGGTTTTAGGGGGTGAAAGTGCTCTCTGAAGTTGACCATCTCTCGGGGTCATTTTTCGACTGCATACATAAGGAAGCTTTTTGAACAACTCTTTCACAGTGTATCATGAAGGTTACAAGGAATGATGAAAATGCGAATTAGAACCGCCTCTGGGGGGTGAAATATGGAGGGTAAACTACCGTTGTGAAAATTCATGTTCTCATAGAAAAAAAACTTTTGATGGAA